GCAGGTGAGTGGGGGCGGGTTCTGTCCGCTGGGCCCGCACTAAATGCACGTCAAGCCATGGATCTGTCGGGCGGCAGGGAGGAAGCGGCCGGGCACCGTGCTGGCCAGCGGAGCACGTGTCCACCTCGGGGCCTTCCGGGCTGGGCCCTGGGACCCCCATGGCGACCTGGACGCTGGGCTGCGCCCGGGCAGCTGGTGGCGAGCCCTGGGCCGGGAGGCGGAGCGCTGGGCTGGGGTCCTGCTGCCTTGACTGACCCTGGCCCAGAGGCGCGTCCTGGGGGCCTCAGAGGTGTGTCCTGGGTGGGGGTGGGGGTCGGGGGTCCCAGGTGCCCCACCACACAGCTGTCGGGGAGCGATTGTTACGTCATTTCCACGACCTAGTAACAGGCAGAGATTACTCCAATGCTAACGCCCAGGGACAGGGATTGGCATTTTCTCCCTGGAGAGGCCAGCCCAGGGCCTGGCGTGGAGGCCGCACAGCGGGGCGCCGGGCGTGCCTGGAGGGTCTGACCGCACCCCGACCTCTTGCACAGGCAAGTATGTCCGCAAGCCGTGCAGCAGCCCCCACACCCGGAGCAAGTGTGAGGCGTGTGGCACAGGGACGTACACGGAACACGCCAACGGCCTGCGGTCCTGCCTGCTGTGCACCACCTGCCGCGAGGGTGAGTCCCGGACCCTCGAGTCTTAACCTTGACCCCGAAGCTCCTTTTTTATTTTTTTAATATATTTTTATTGATTTCAGAGAGGGGTAGAGAGAGAGAGAGAGAGAGAAACATCAATGATGAGAGAGAATCATGGATCAGCTGCCTCCTGCACACCCCCCACTGGGGATCGAGCCTGCAACCCCGGCATGTGCCCTTGACCCGAATCGAACCCGAGACCTTTCAGTCCGCAGGCTGATGCTCCATCCACCCAGCCAAACCATCCAGGGCAAGAATATATATATATATATTTTTAAATTTAAAAAAAAAAAGCCTTTTCCAAAGGTCTAAACTGGAAGATAATTCAAAAAAGAAAAATCAATGGGAAAAATATCATGCTATGATGATTAACCAAATAAATAAATAGATAGATAAATAAATAAATAAAATCAATAAAATATAATTAAAGAAAAGAAAGGGTCTCTGAGGAGTGAAGAGGCGGACCGTCCTACGTCCGCCAGAGCCGGTGCCGCACGTGGGGGGCAGGGCAGTGGGGATCCTGGCCCGACGGGAGACGGGGGGTCAGTGCCAGCCTCGGAGGAAACACTGGGTGTAGTGGGTGACGTTCCCACGGGCCTACCCCACTACCCCCCGCCTGCCCACCTCCGTCTAGACCGGGGCCCGCTCCCCCCCGTGTGTCAGAGCCTGGCCGGTGTGCAGTGGCCTCACCGGGAGCCTCCCATGTCCACTGGCAGAGTCCCAGCCCTGGTGCCTGACCCAGCCTCCCCTCCCCCCGCAGACCAGGAGATGGTGAGTGACTGCACCCCGAAACAGGACCGGCGGTGCCAGTGCAAGACCGGGGAGTTCTACTGCGACTCTGAGGACTGCCTGGAGGGCTGCCACCGCTGCACCAGGTACGGCCTCAGGGCGCAGGCAGCCGTGTAGCCTGGGTCCCCCCACCCCCCTCCTGGCGTGTCTGCCTCGGGTTCTGCCGCTGCCCCTCGGTTCTCCCATCTGTAACCTGGTAGCACCTGCCACGTGGAGGGGCCTGCAGTTGAAATCTAACCAGTGGCCTGGCTGTTCCCACCAGGGGCCGCCCTGGGGCCAGGGCTCCGTCCACCCAGAGCCACGACCCGCTCATCCCACCAAAGCCCCTGTGGAGTCGGCACAGAAGCCAAAGCACAGAACCTGCCCGGGTCCCCCAGGGGTGGAGGGCGGGGGCTTGGGAGACACAGAGGCCCGAGGAGGGAGGGAGGTGGGAGCCATAGATGGTTCCAGAGGAGGCGGCTCCGGGCAGAGGAAGAGCCGTGAGCCCCGCACCCTGTCCCAGCTGCAAGGCCGTCCCCGCAGCAGGGCCCTGGTTCTGTCACAGGCGCCGGTCCTGGCGGCTTCACAAACCTCGGGAACAATTCTCTCCAGGCCCGCAGCCCGGGAGCCCGAAACCCGGGTGTGGGCAGGGCCGGCCCCGCGGGCTCTGGGAGGACCCTCCTGCCTCCTGGGCTCTGGGTGGCGGCGCCCCTGGCGCTCCTCCTAGACCTGCTGCTGCGGCCTCTGCTCTGTCCGCCATCGCGCCGTCTCCTGTCTGCGTCTCTGTGCTGCTCCCTGCGAACAGGCTCCCTCAGGAGGACGCTGGTCACGGGAGGCCCGGCTCCTCCGCGATGGCCTCCCTTTAGCACCATCACATGCACAGATTTCCTAAGAAGGTTTATCCTGAGGTCCGGGTGGCCTCGAAGGGGGGACCTTCTGGGGAGACATAACAGCGGTGAAACTCCTGGCAAAATAGCTCCCTTTTTAAAAGAAATGGATTTTAATTTTTAAATTTTTTTATTTTTTATTTTTATTTTTAAAATATATTTTATTGATTGTTTACAGAGAGGAAGAGAGAGATAGAGAGTTAGAAACATCGATGACAGAGAAACATTGATCAGCTGCCTCCTGCACATCTCCTATTGGGGATGTGCCCGCAACCAAGGTATATGCCCTTGACCGGAATCGAACCTGGGACCCTTCAGTCCGCAGGCCGACGCTCTATCCACTGAGCCAAACCGGTTTCGGCAAGAAATGGATTTTTGTTGATGTCAGAGAGGAAGGGAGAGGGAGAGAGAGGAACGGCAATGATGAGAGAGAATCATGGATTGGCTGCCTCCTGCACACCCCCATCCGGGGATGGACCCCACAACCCGGGCCTGTGCCCTGACCGGGAATCCCACCGAGACCTCCTGGTTTCTAGGCCTACGCTCATCCCCTGAGCCCCCCGGCGGGCAGAGCAGCGCATTTTGTGAGGCGCGTTGTGGGCCCTTCAGTGCAACTCAGACCATGTGAACTGAGGCCCTGGGACCTGACAAGTCCGAAGTAGGGGCCGCCTGCAGGTCCGGTTGGATCAGGGCTCTGCTTCTCTCGACTCCTTTGCCTGCCCGTCTCCATGGGCTTCCTCTCGGGGCTGCTCCCTCTCGGTGCGGCTGTGGCTCCAGCAGGTGCAGCCCTCACAGCCGCACCCCAGGGCCCCGAACTCCCTCGCTGTGCGCTCAGCGGTCCCGGAGCCGGGTGGGCCGATGGTCTGGGAAAGCCCGGCACAGGCTGCCGGAGCCCGGGGCCCTCCGGGGCGGGGCCGGCCTGGCCGGGAAGTGATGCTCGGGGTCCTTCACTCCTTCCTCTCAGCTGTCCCGGCGCCACCCTCCAGACCTGCATCGCCACGAGGGACACCGTGTGCGCCCCAGCAGCCCGGCCAGAGCCAGGTAAGCGGCCCCGCCTCCTCCACGGCAGCCAGCCTGTGCACAGAGGGCGCCGACCGGCTCTGGGCCGGGGTCAGTGCTCAGCTCTGCCCCGTAGAAAAGAGGCTGCAGGCAGGAAGGGGTAGGTGTGCGTGGCTTTATTTTATTTCTAATATGTTTTTATTGATGTCAGAGAAGAAGGGAGAGGCAGGGAAAGAGAGAAACATCCATGATGAGACAATCATGGACCGTCTGCCTCCTGCAGGCCCCACACTGGGGATCGGGCCCGCAACTTGGGCCTGTGCCCTGAGAGGGAATCGAACCCTGACCTCCTGGTTCATAGGTCGACGCTCAGCCACTGAGCCAGGCGGTCGGGGGGAGCGGGGGGGAGGGCTTAAAGCACATTTAATGCCCATCCCCCCACAAAAAGAACATAGTTCGGACCTAACCTGTGATTAAACACAAGTGGTCAGAGCCCTGGCCTGGTTGGGTCAGTGGTTAGAGCCTCAGCCCGTGGACCAAAGGCTGGTGGGTCGATTCCCAGTCAAGGGCACGTCCCTGGGTTGCAGGCTCAGTCCCCAACCCGGTCGGGGGGTGCGGCAGCCCATGGATGTGTCCCTCACACTTTCACATCCACGCTTCTCTCTCTGTCTCTCCCTCTCCTCCCTCCCCTCCACTCTCCCTAAAAAAATCAATGGGAAAATGTCGTCGGGCGAGGATTCATGAGAAATAAATGCACTTCAGGAAGCTGTTGGAGGAGCAGGCCCCGTGGCAGGGTCACTGCTGTCCCTCCGCCTCCTGGGCTGGCCCGGCGCCGGGGCCACAGCTCTGATGGGCCTGCCCTCGCCCGGGTCCCTGTGGTGGCTCCGCTGGGTGCTGTCATGTCACCCGGGGGAGACCAGCCCCCGAGCGGCCTCAGCAGCTGGCTCCTGGGTGGCCATACCCTGTCCCTCTGGCCACCTGGCCGGGCCTTCCCGCAGTCACCATGGGGTCCTCTCCCTCATCCCCACCTTCGGGGCGGGGGGCTGCCTTCCGGGCCAGGAGTCCGTGACGCTCGCTCCAGAGCCCCCCCCTGGGGCACCGGACCTTCACCCTCTTCTGGGAGGGCGGACCCTGCGGGCAGCGAGTCCTTCCTCGAGGGACGTGCTTCCCCGCTACCGCGCTCTGTGCCCCCAGGACCCCCATCCGGTTCCCTGGCTGTCAGCGCCTTGTGTTGATGTTCCTTGTGAAAGGAGACACTGAGGCAAGCCTGGCGTGCAGGAGGAAGTAGAGCAGAGGGCTACCGCTCGCTCAGGCGTGTAGCCAAGACCCTCTGATGCCTTCTGGCTTTTATTGAAGTGAGCACAGCAAACAACAATGGAGTACAGCAAGTGACAGTGATTAACAGGCATGCTTATGAGATCATCTGAGCTAAGTTATATATTACACTATTAATTTCCTATGTTATACAAAGACTATTTCCACCTGCAGCAGTGCGCCCTCCCTGAACTTTCCACGCCCTCATGGACTGTTTATCACGTCAAGGAAAGTTCTGCCTTGGAACAATAAGTCTCGCGTGCAAGACTTTGTTCTGACGCGGCCGCTTGCAGGCCCCCGCCTTCTCCCGGCAGAGCGTCCTCTTCTAGTAACTTCTTTCCGCCTGACCGGCTACATTTCCCCCTTTTTTGTTCTGCTTCAGGTTCATGACGTAAAAAATAGCACTGCGTTGATTGTTCACTGCTGCGGCTTTACGGGATCTTCTGCAGACTAAATATAGAACAAAGCAAAGTATTAATACTAGTAATTACAACCCTGAGGAAGTTCCCATTAATGCTTTAATATGTGGGATAGGATTCATATTTTGTATCTCATTAACAAGACTTTGTAAAACTTGCTGTCCGGTTACCTCCTCTAATCTCTTTTGAAATGTTGTGTGAATATGATCTTGAAGATCAATAATTTCTTTGTTAAATTGCCATGGTTCAATAAATGTTTCTTAACCTTATCCCAAGGAAAGCTGTCTCATTGTAAGGCACAGGGGTGATACACTGACCAGTATGGTTCCAATCACATTTTAACTGTAATCGCCTTTGCAGGCTCACAATTTGGTCCCCTAATAAAGCTACTGATTGTTCAAGATCGGCTATTTGTTCATTGACTTCACTATCAATATGCTGTTGAGAACTCCATAACTGTTCTGACTCTTTATGCCATTCCTGAACAAAAGCAGCAGTTTGGACTGATCGCTGCAATGCCACCCCAGCTGTTGCTGCAGTTGCTGTCATAGCAATCAATCCTAGAATTGCAGCAATTATTATGCCAATAAACCTTTTTGACCTCTTCAATATTCCTTCCGCAATGGCTTGGAGAGCTCCAGCTAGAGAACTTTCCTGCCATCGTCGATCCATCTGCACAGGTAACCATACTCCTGTTCTGGCTCGCAATAGATACAAGCTCTCTCTACTGTGATTAAAAGGTACAGAGTTATTTACACAAGTTAACAAGGTACAATTAAAACAAGATATTTCCCCAGTAGTTTGAGTCCATTGAACTGGTCCTTTCAAGGATTAGTGGTGTTTTTAGCCACACTCAACCAGGCTTTAAAACCAAATTGCAGCCCTGACCGGTTTGGCTTGGTGGATGGAGCGTCGGCCTGCGGACTCAAGGGTCCCGTGTTCGATTCCAGTCAAGGGCATGTACCTTGGTTGCGGGCACATCCCCAGTGGGGAGTGTGCAGGAGGCAGCTGATCGATGTTTCTCTCTCATCGATGTTTCTAACTCCTTATCCCTCTCCCTTCCTCTCTGTAAAAAATCAATAAAATATATTTTTAAAAAAAGGGGGGGACATGGTGGCCAATGGGGGGTGTGCTGTCAGTGTCTGGATTAGTCTTTGCTACCGCACAGGCCAGGCAGGAGGCTCAGACCGGGGTCTCCCCGTCACCACGGCACCTAAAACAGCAGCTGGGTAGAAGCTCGGTCTGTGTACGGTCCTTTACTCCCAGCAACTCCTGCAAAAATCCCTTTTCCCTCCATTGACATGAAGGTGGAATGTTCCTTTTGAAAGAAATACTGAATTCATACTTGGAAACACAGCCTTTAAGTCCCCTGGGAACAGGCAGCTCACCTCTCCTGGTCGCCAGAAACTCCCGGGGCCGGGTCCTGGGCCGTGGGGACTGAGGTCTTCCCTGGGGTGGGTCGGTCACAGCTGCGGTGGCCAGCCGGCCGGCTTCGTCCAAAGTCCCCCCGGAGACGGTGAACGGGAGCAGCTCCTGGTGTCAGGACACGCGCCACACCACGGACTAAAGGACGCCCACCACCCTCCTGATCACAGATGCACGCTCCCCGCCCTCTCAGAGCTCCTCTTAGCAAGTGCGCTTTACGCAGGGGTCGCGTGTCTGCCCAAGACAGGCCATCTCTCTGGGCCCTGCAGTTTCCGAGGAGGCCCGATAGCTGTGGACAAGAACTCGGGGAACAGCTACGGGGATCCTCGCTGCCCCCGGCCCGCCCCCAGCTCTTCGTTTCATTGGTGTTGCACCAATCACTCTCTCTGCCCCAGGGCTGTGTGTGGATTAGTATTTACCCGGAGAAGAAAGGACCAAGAAGACAGGGTGTTTTGTGGCTCAGAATGGCTCCCAGGATGGGGTGGGGGTGGGGGTGGGGGTATTGGAAGGGTCCAGGGAGGGTGGCTGAGAACCTGTGGGTTCCAGGCCCAGGCACGTTTCTGTGAACTGTTCCCAGGACTTGCTGTCCCCAGAACTCTGACAGAGCACGGGCCCCTGCAGAGTTCAAGGTCTGAGCTGGGCTGACTGGGGCCTCCCGCAGCCACCTGGCCCCTCACAGCCCCCGCCCTCTGGCTCCTTCCCGCTGTGTCTGTTGGGGGTAAACCCCAGCCCCTTCAGGAAGTGTGTGCCTTCCTGTCCATGTCCTGTGCCTACAGGAAGGACCACTGCAGACAGAGTCCCCTCTGAAGCCTGCGGTGTCCTCTGACCTGGAGGAGGGCATCACACAGTCTGAAGATTACACGGGGAAGTAGGCCAGAGGTATGCCACGTGGGCAGTCCACAGGTAATGCAGGCTGGGGGTTTGCAAAGGGCTGTCGGCTCTGGTTTCTGCAACAAGGTTGCTAACCTTTCCATGATGACAGGCGGCTCCCAGATGAGGAGGATGGGCTGCGTTTCCAGGTGAGCTCCCGGGTACCGAGTACCTGCCCACTGAGCTGGCCCCCACCCCACAGGTCAGAGGGACCAGAGGATGACACCCTGCTCTGCCTCTTCCTCCCGGGGGGTCCGGACGTACCCTACACGCCCAGGAGTGAAGTGTGCAGGGCCACACACTTAACCCGAGGTGACAAGGAGCAGAGGTGCCACGACTGAGGGAGAACTGGCCCCGTGTGTCCGGCCCACGTGCTGGCCACAGCCACAGAGCTGCCTGAGCTGGATTCAAAATAAATAAGGTTAAGCCCCGCCGGTGTGGCTCAGTGGCTAAGCATCAACCTATGAACCAGGAGGTCACAGTATGATTCCCAGTCAGGGCTCATGGCCAGGTTACAGGCTCCATCCCCCGTGTGCAGGAGGCAGCCGATCAATGATTCTCTCATCACTGATGTTTCTCTCTCTCCCTCTCCCTCCCTCTCTGACATCAATAAAAATGTATTAAAACACAATAAGGTTAAGGGGTTAGGGTGAGTTTCTCCAGCACATTGGCCACATGTCCAGGGCTCAGTGTCCGGACACAGAATGACTGTCACCCTGGAGTGTCCTGGTGGCCGACACTGGGTGGGTGGGGCTGGGGCCTGACCCCACGGTCATCAGCACAGAAGGACCAGGAGCTGCCCTGAAGCTGGACAGTGTCACCTTGTTTCCGAGGCGACTTCCAGGACAAATGTTCCTGGTGCAATTCGTTAAACGGCTCTGAGAAGGGCTCCTTTTAGGAGATCCCCACCCACGCTCCTCCTTAGGAAGGATCAGACTCACCAGGACTTGACGGGCGGGAGTCCCTGAGGCCTGGATTAAGGGGGTGAGGGGGGGGGGGACCGTGCAGGGCAGAAGCCCCGCTGGCAGGAGCCTGGAGCCTCGGGAAGCAAAGCATGCGCCTGGCTACGCACTGTCCTTGGTCTCCACTAAGTTGATGAACAAAAGCCTATTTGGATTTTTTAACCACAAATTCTGTATTTCAGGTTTAATGCCCAGTGTTCAGTTCTGCTCCTCCTGACTCCATAGGACACAGTACTTAAGGGGCACTAATCAAGAGGAAAATTGCTACCTAAGAGCGATAAGAGCCCTCCCCACCACCCAGCCCTCCCCGCACCCAGCCCTCCCTGGCACCCAGCCCTCCCCGCACCCAGCCCTCCCAGTACCCAGCCCTCCCAGTACCCAGCCCTCCCCGCAGCCCCCTCCCCGGTACCCAGCCTTCCCCAGCCAGCCCTCCCCGGCACCCAGCCCTCCCCGCACCCAGCCCTCCCCACAGCCCCCTCCCTGGACCCATGGCTCCCGCCTCCCTGTCACAGCCCAGGCGAAGCCGTGAGGGCAGGGCTCTTAAAGGCTTGACCCTCCCCCTGGTCAGCACCTGTGGACAATCAGCCAACTGTGAGTCCGCTCAGAAACACTCCTCACCGCCCCCCACCCCCCCGCAGGGCGGCTTCCCTCGGATCCAAGTGTCCTGAGGGTAACGTCCTCCCTCCATGGGGCTCACACAGCTGCACTGAAGTCAACCTGCTCTCCCCCTGGGGTGACGGTGACACGGCTGGTGACACGGCCGGTGCTGTGTCCATCCCAGGACACCTAGAGCCGGTGTCCGAGGTAGAGGACGCACAAACCTGCTGCCCCGGGACTGAGTGGCCCTTTGTCTGGTGCGCTCATGGCTGTTGAATGAGCACATGGCACCAGGTCCTCCACACCTCCCCCTCCCCACTGGCTGCAGAAGAAAATGAAACGTCCATCGTCCATCGCTCTGTGTTCAAATGCCCTGATGGTCGTCCCCAAGGGCGCCTGGTCCTTTGGTCCCTGGGAGTGAAGGGATGACTTCCGTCCCACCTGCTCCCTCCGTGCCCCTCCCCCTCTCTCTGCAAAGACACCTGTGGCGATTCCACCCGAGGGACAGGGACCGTCCCAGCACCAACCACTCTCAGCACTGCAGGGTCTAGTGACCATCCTGATTTCCCTCAGACGCGTCAGGGACAGGAAGTCGCCGTGACCACCGCTGCCCTCAGCTCGTCCCAGTGCATTAGTGCAGGGAGCGTGGCGCACAGTCAGGAGAAGCTTTTAGTGTCGGCTCATCTGTGTCACTTCAGCCGGCGCTCACCCCCACCAGCCTGGCTCTCATCCTCCGTCCTCTTCTTGGGAGTACTTTCCCCTAAAGCCACAGGGAATAAAAACATTATTCAGCCCGGCTGGCGTGGTTCAGTGGTTGAGTGTTGACCTATGAAGCAGGAGGTCACGGTTCAATTCCTGGCCGGGGCACATGCCCGGGTTGCAGGCTAGACCCCCAGCAGGGGGCTTGCAGGAGGCAGCCGATCAATGATTCTCTCTCATCAATGATGTTTCTATCTCTTTCTCCTTCTTCCTTCCTCTCTGAAATCAATAAAATTATATTTTAAAAAACAACACACAAAACAAACATTATTCAGTAGCAATACCTGATGTCTTAAGACAGGACAGAATCCTCTGGAAGTCTTTGCCATCTGGGTCACCTCATCACGTGATGCGAGTCCAGCACAGTGTCTGCTGTGCGGGGTTCGGGACCAGCCCACATCCACAGATGGCCCCTCGACACCCCAGGGCCAAGCTGGAGCCACCCCTGGGCCCCACACGTCCAAAATGGAGGGTCCCATGTCCTCAAGGCGCAGGAGAGTCACCAGACACTGACCTCACATTCCTGACTCACAGGACCGTGTGCTGTAGAGGTTGACGCAGTGGAGCCAGGGCTGGGGGGGGGGGGCCCGGACGGGGCGGGGAGGGGGGGCAGGCACAGCCATCACTCCTGCTGCTCCTCCTGTCCACCTCCGGGGCTGCCATCCCTGAGATCCCCAGATGGGTATCACGTAGTCGACAGCATGCCGAGAGGAGGGGAACGACAGCTGGCTTAGAATGTTGTAAAAATTGCATGGAAACCAGCTTCACCACAGCAGATTTGAAACTAA